AAAATTTCACGCACCAGCGCATGAAAGCTGAATTTGAAACCTTGAAGGGTGAATATCTTTCCGCGACTCCCAAGTTAATAGTTTACCCGCCAAAATCTTCACGAGGCCGTAGGTGGTACTCAGGAGCGCGGGAACACTGAATTCAACTGGGCAGGGGGTCATTAGCGTAAAATTTTAGCTTCCTGGACTTCGTGTTTCCCAGTTAATAATTTACTCGTAATAAACTTTCACGGGGCCATACGTGTTACCCGCGGGTACGGTGAATCTGAATTTGAATGGGCAAGGTTGGTCGTGGACAGGGGGTCGTTACCTTAAAATTTCAGCCTCCTAGACTCCGTGGTTCCTGAGATATTAATTTACCAGTAAAAAACTTTCACGGGGCCATACGTGTTTCCTGCGGGTACGGTGAATCTGAATTTAAATTTTGCGGGGTCATACATGGGTGGGGACGTTACCCTAAATTTTCAGCTTCCTAGCTTTTGTGGTTCCCGAGTTGAAAGTTGCGGACAACCCCTTAAATTTTCAGCTTCCTAGCTTTTGTGGTTCCCGAGTTGAAAGTTGCGGACAAGTTGCTGCGTTAAATTTTCAGCTTCATAGCTTTTGTGGTTCCCGAGTTGAAAGTTGCGGACAAGTTGCTGCGGGAAACGTTACCCTAAATTTCCAGCTTCCTAGCTTTTGTGGTTCCCGAGTTGAAAGTTGCGGACAAGTTGCTGCGGACACAAACGCAGGCAACCCCGTGACAGTATGCGTTTTGTACTGCTGTTACACAGCACAAAACGCATAAAAATGAGGACATAGTTCTAAAACAAAATGCACTGTTAGATGGGCTCACTTAAGCATAGCGACGTTTTATCTTTTTCTCCTTCTGTTCCTCAAATTTGTCTTTGTTTTTACGCAGTGCGATTGAGGAGTGGTTTGCAGATGCATCGAAAGACGGCGCCGAAGGCGAGACCGAGGCACAGCGCCGGCAGAAAGAACTCATTGCCGAGCAGCAGTCCAATCTGTCCGCGAAAATCAATGACTGCATGGAAAAGGTGATTTTAGAAACATTATGAAACCTTGTTAGTTAAGAACTTCTCATCTGTTGTTAGTTAAGCACTTCTCACCAGTTAAATGCCGTTTTTTCATCCTTGCGCTCTTTCATACGATCATTTGGGTTGTTCCTTTCCAATCCACTCCTTCACATTTGCACAGTGGCAGGTGGGAAATAAGCATTTTTTCACTATCATTCATACGATTTCTTTCTTGTAGGTTCTTTAGTGCATTTTAATTTGTTAGTGACGTCAGAAGGTTTTTTTTTAATTGCCGCATATAAAGTGACCCTTTTTCATCCAGTAGTCCTTCACCCACTATCTTCGTCCTTCTGCTCGTCGATCCGTCATCTCTAAAAATTTTGGGTTTTTTTAGGAAAAACAGAAAATTACGTGAAAACGCATCTTTGCACCGGCAGTCGTTGCGGCAGTAGTTAGGTTTTATGTGTATTTATTCATCCGCCGCTTCGTTTTAGTGTATCCTTGTAATTTCTGTGCAACTAGTGCTTGTTGATATCCATTTGGTGCTCAGCTTGCTAGTGACCTTGTTCACCGTTTTCTTGTCCATTTGCGCTCCCTTTGTGCGATCTTTCTGACGAAATATCTCCCTGTGCTCCTTGATAACGGATACTCTCTGTAGAAGCTCTTGATGCAGGAGGAGTACCCAGAGACGCATTTAGAATTGGCCAAGTGAGTTTTGTGCTAGACGCTTGCATGAATTTTTGGCTTTGTTGGTGTACACGCAGACATTAGTGGATTAGTTCTTGGCCTGATGCTACGTTGCGTATTCCTGGGGAGAGACAAAAGAGTCATTAGCTGGAGGTGGAAAACGTGTTTTCAAATACGTTTAAAAAGGAATTTTTTCTTTAGGCTTCCTA